ACATAGGGGGGATGTGATATTTTAAGTAAGAACTTCAGTTTCTTTTTGTGGTACATACAGAACTTACAAGTGATGGATGTGATATTCTTGGTACCAAATAGCAATCGTTTGAAATATTTTATGAATTACTTTGGGGGATATAATATTTTAGAAGTATACATAGGGGGGATGTGATATTTTAAGTAAGAAGTTCAGTTTCTTTTTGTGACATATACATAGAATCTACAGGGGGATGTGATATTCTAGGTATCAAATACTAATCAATTGAAATATTGTATGAATTACTTATTGATATTTTAAATACCAAATATGAATTGCTTGAAATATTTTAGAAAAGTACTTAGGGGGATCTTATATTTTAGAAGTATACATAGGGGGGATGTGATATTTTAAGTAAGAATTTTAGTTTCTTTTTGTGGTACAAACATAATTTGCAAGTGATGAATGTGATATTCAAGGTAGCATTTACTACTCATTTGAAAAATTTTATGAATTACTTAGGGGATGTAATATTTTAAAGATATACATAGGGGGATGTGATATTGGGGAATATTTTAGAAGCCTGCATAGGGAGATTTGATTTTTTAATATAGAATTTTAGCTGTTATTTGCAAAATGTGCAGAGATTACTCAAACAGTCTTTTTTAATTTTTTTTTCAGATTTAATTGAGCTAACAAGTTAAAAATGTATTATTGTTCAATCAATTCATATGTATGCCAACATATGAATTAACTTAGTTGATTTACACAAAATAATATGTATGCCGACATGTAATCTATGCCGAATGTAAAATATGCCGAAATATGTAAAATATGCCGAATATGTATGCCAATGATTTACACAAAATAATATGTATGGCGACATATGAATTGGCAGAATTATGAAGGCTTCCGACAATTTAAAGTATTATAACAATACAAGAAGTCACTAAAAATAGGGAGAGAAAAAAATATCACCTTTTTGTGTTTTTATCTGTAAGGGCATAAACATTTAAATTGGTTCAATTTATGACAAAATTTTGAAGAAAAAGAAATGACTGCAATTTTTAAAGTTTTATTTATTATTACATTAATATATAAATATGTTCACAACAAAATAAAGTTTCATTTTTAAAAACAATGCATCTTATACGGTACCATCGATTTAGATGCAAATATCACATTTGATCTAAAAATAAATATTAAATGTACATTTTTGTATTTAAATATTTAAAGTATTTTATTCTATTTGAAATAATTAAAATATATTTTATTACCCATCATATACCCAAAAAATATTATATTTTATTACACATTATATACCCAAAAAAACAATTAAAATATATTTTATTACTTATTTAACTTTTTTTTGATTTTTTCTAGTTTTTTGACCAATTTCGCTTCCACAAATGCGACACAAACTATTCTGCCAACTTTTCTGACCTATTGATTTAGTTTTTCATCATTTTTTTGTGTCTTTTTTTGAGATATCATTTAACATTGAAGTAGTATAAACATTTTCAGTTCTCTAAATAATCTCACAAACCTCCTTTATCTCTCATTCTGTATGCATTAACTTCTACATGTGGAAAGAAACGCACCAATACTTCTCCATTTGTATAACTTTCAGCAAACTAAAATATGTAAGCTTATATATATATATATATATATATATATATATATATATATATATATATATATATATATATATATATATATTTATATTTATATTTATATTTATATATATATCCATTACAGTTAAGACTCTTAAAGTTATTTTAAGGCAGAATACTCCAAATGTTATACCTTCAGCTTGTAGGGCATGTGGTAATGTTAATATTTCAAACTTTTCTGAAACACCATATCTTTGTTGTAAGTAACAACTACTGTATAATAGTAAAAAAATTATAAAAGATGTAAATACAAATTTTGACATAGGAATATCTAATAATAATATCATACTTCCATTTCACTTCTTCTTTTTTGATGGAATTTATCTGTTCTCCCATAGGATCCATAGAGTGAATTGTTTTATTACCTGGTTTGATTATCTAAAACACAAGTGAGTTTCAAAATTAGGTTCAAAGTTAGGTTCCCTGTAAAAAATATATATATATATATATATATATATATTTGTGTGTGTGTGTGTGTGTGTGTGTGTGTGTGTGTGTGTGTGTGTGTGTGTGTGTGTGTGTGTGTGTGTGTGGGTGTGAAATACTCTATAATTAAATTAATAAATCATTAATTTTTTTAGATAAAAGTTTTTGAATACCTTATGCCGTCTTTGTATTAAATCAGTTTTAATTTGCAATTCATCCAGTGAGCGTAGCCCAGCTGGCTACAGTACTTCGACTCGATTCTTCAAAGCATCAATAAATGGAATGGCATTCAATATATTGTTTTATATTTAGAATTAAAATTTTATTTAAATAAAGACAAATTAAAAAAAAAAAATGCGTTATTGTTTTTTTGTACAATAATTTTATTATAAAGTACATTAATTAATCATACTTTTTCTTTACTGTTTACTAATATTTTGAGATAAATATTAACAACTTCGTCACTGAGACATTCGTTTAAAGTGTCTTGTAACGAATAATCGTGTACCTAGCAGCCACCTAAATCTGGATGTATACCCAGAATGACTTTTACAGGGCTTTTTAATATGGATACATTTTATTATTCCGTAACCTATTCATGAAATGCAATTTAAGGATAATTTCATCAAAATTTAACCATAAGCCTTTCTTCTAATAAAATAACGACTATTACATTTATTGAAGATTACATGTTTTAAAACTATGCACATATTTTTTCACCAGGTTGGATAATGTTTAAATTGATTATTTAAATAGGTTTACATAAAAATCTTTATTACAATAAAAAGGTAACGCTAAAAAAATGTAAAAATGATTTATTATTATATACCTTCACTGTCTTTAGCTGCAAAGATTTTTATAATTATCTGCCTCCTCTAGAAAATAAATTATAAATAAAATAAAACGCTAACAATTACAAATGAATAAGTAAGTTTTTAATTCATACCTTCACTATCATTAACTTCAAAGCTTTTTGTTGGTGTCTCTGCCTTCTCTTGAAAATAACCATAAAATAAAATAATGAAAAAATATGTTTTAACAATAAATTAAAATAAGAAAAAGGAATTTTTTACCCGAGTATAAATCAAAAAACAATAAAAATTGTTTTCATATTAATATTACCTGTAGAAAGTTAAACAAATATTAGGTTTGAAGAAAAAATAAAATATTTTATAAATAGAATGAAAACTTCATTGAAGTAACAGGTATATCAGTAACTTCTACAGAGTAACAATATTAAAAAAAAAAACATTTCTCTTTTCAGCGTTTTTTAAAGACGTTTAAAGACCTGTATTAGGCGTAATAAAATTTAGACGTCTTTGAATAGCTATGGCTTTCTGAGACAAGTGTCTGACAAAGATGTCTTTTAAACTAAAATAAGTGAACATAAACTCTCAACCTCAACTAATATATCTAAAAATATAATGTAACTTCACTTTGTTTTAGCTCATTCTTTTTCTAGCGCTTATCTTTCTTTAAACCTTTTAATTTTCTAAACTGATTAAAACGAGCTTCTTGATTCGCAAAAAAGTTATGCCAAATATTGTGCGGCTGTAGCGCAGTGGTTAGATCATATGTTTTATAAGCAGGAGATCCAGGTTCAAAACGAGCTTTGGACATATTTCGCGTTATGGTAAGGAAGGAGGCGTGAACTTCCTGGTTAAATGCACTTCCGCGGTGCTCTGTGACAAGACCGTTAGGACTTCTTAGGCTACCTAAATAACAAATTAAAAAAAAAAAAAATTATAAATAAGGACAATTTTGTGCAGATTTTTTGTTATTTTTATTATGGCTACGCGTTGGCACCGGACTCGTTGAATAAAAATTTAATCAATCTTTATTATAACAATTAACATAGTCAGTTTTGTTAACTAATTCAATCATTTAAATTAAGCCACTACGCTTTCTTCTTTTTTTCAAACTTGTTGAATTCAACGCTATAAATCTGTCATTATAAGGATGATTATTATTTCTTAGTGAAATCTTATTCGAACAATCCTGCACTTTAGCATTTGTGTCATTAAGAAAATAGGAAAACCTAACAAAAGCAGAATATTCTTAGTGTGGAAGAATCAGTGGCGGAACTTCAAAATTTGGGCCCCCCCGCAAAAGAATGTTTTTTTTTGCGGAAAAGAGTTTTATAGTATAAATATTATTGAGAGTATAACTTTTTTTATATGAGGGCCCCCTATAGCTGGTAGGCCCCCCCCCCCCCCCGCAACGCAGGGTCCTGCGTCCAGTAGTTCCGCCACTGGGAAGAATAATACTTGCTCAATAGTATTTTTTTTCAAAATTTTGTATGTATATATGTATATAATGTATATATGTATATATATATATATATATATATATATATATATATATATATATATATATATATATATATATATATATATATATACAACAAACCGTTTATGTACTTTGTCTTTTACAGTACATTATTCTTTATCATTTCAGTTCAGTATGATATTGGATGATTTTAATACATGAAATACATGATTTTATAATTTATTGTAATAAATATAAGTTATTTTTTTAACTGCCACTTTTAAAAATTTGTATAATTTTAATAATTGTGAACTGGACTAAATATTATTAACTCGCCTCAACAGGCTCAATAATCACATTATATTTCCATACCAAGCCAGCCAAAGAAACGTTAATATTTAAAAGTAGTTCTTTAAAATGTTCCTTTATTAAGAAAAGAAGTTTCTATTATTCAAAAAAAGTATCTAAAGAAGTTATAACCTTCCCAAAACATTACGCCTAAGCCACCATAGGTGGACGTAATGGAGAAAAATTTTAAATTATGCAATAGAACAAAAAAGACAAACCGTAATTATTTATTTTCTTTCAAAACGTTTTGTACATTAAAATATTTATGTTGTAAGATATGAATACATTTAGAGTAAAAAATTATTGTAATTAATTTCGTTCATTTTAAATCTTATGAAAACTTTAATTCCACCAAAGTTTTATATATGACTTCGTTGAACAATGTCGCATGTTTAAATTGTTAGCTCAATCGTATCTAAAAAAAAATAAAATATTAAATTAAAACTTTAAAAAGCTAAAAAACACTTTAAATATTAAAGTTTCTTGATTTTATTAAAAGTTCTTTAATTTTTTTTTAATTCTTTAATTAAATATATAAATTTATTATAAAGATATCCCCATCAGAGGAGGACCCAAGAAACAAAAAATAGCTAACAATATTTGAGATACATATCTTACTTAAATTACTTATCAACCCTATGCAGGCGTCTAAAATATTATTATTATCCCACTAAGGAATTCTTTACAATATTTTAAACAATTAGTATTTTGTGTTTTAAATATCAGATTCCTCACTTAAATATTCTGTGTGTATCACATAAAGAAACTAAAATTTTTACATAAAATATCACATCCCCCCTTTGTATACTTTTAAAATATTACATCCCCCTAAATAATTCTTTACAATATTTCATTAGGTATCAAATACTAATCAATGATTAGTATTTAGTACCTAGAATATCACATTCCCCCTATTTATTCTCTATAAATGTCACAAAATAAAACTGAAATTCTTACTTAAATTACATATCCACCCTATTCAGGCGTCTAAAATATTACATCCCACTAAGTAATTCATAAAATAATTCAAAAAATAAGTATTTGGTAACTAGACTATAACATCCATCACTTGTAATTTCTGTATAAATAACATAAAGAAACTTCTTTAATGTGATATTTTAAGAAATTCTTTCTTAAAATATCACATCCCAACTATGTCTACTTCTAAAATATTAAATCTCCCAAAGTACTTCTTTACAATATTACAATATTTCATTTAAAAAAAAGTACTTCTTTACAATAATAAAATATTTCATTTAAAAGTTCTGTATATACCACAAAAAGAAACTTAAATTCTTATAATATCACATGCCCTCTATGTTTATCTTTAAAATATTACATCCCCCTAAGTAATTCATAAAATTTTTCAAATAAGTAGTAATTGCTATCTTGAATATCACATTCAACACTTGTAAATAATGTTTGTACCACAAAAAGAAACTAAAGTTCTTACTTAAAATATCACATTCTCCCTATGTATACTTCTAAAATATTAGATCCCCCTAACTATTTTTCTACAATATTTCAAGCAATTCATATTTGGTATTTAAAATGTTACATCTCCCATGTGGAATCTCTGCATATGTCACAAAAAGAAATTGAAATTCTTATTTAAAACATCACATCCCCTCTATGTTTACCTTTAAAATATTACATTCCCCTTAGTAATTCATACAATATTTCAAACAAAATAATATTTGCTATTTAAAATATCACATCCCCCTGTAGATTCTATGTATATGTCACAAAAAGAAACTGAACTTCTTACTTAAAATATCACATCCCCCCTAATGAATACTTCTAAAATATTACATTCCCCTAAATAATTCATACAATATTTCAAACGATTGGTATTTGGTACCTAAAATATCACATCCATCACTTGTAAGTTCTGTATGTACCACAAAAAGAAACTTAAATTCTTACTAAAAATGTCATATCCCCTCTATGTTTACCTTTGAAGTAATACATCCCATAAGTAATTCATACAATATTTCAAACGATTAGAATTTAGTATCTAGAATATCACATCCCCTCGGTTTATTTGCTATATATGTCACAAAAAGAAACTGAAATTCTTACTAAAAGTATTACATCCCTTCTAAGTTTGCCTTTAAAATATTACATCCCCTAAAGTATTTCATACAATATTTCAAACAATTAATATTTTCTATTTAAAATATCACATCCCCGCTATGTTTATCTTTAAATTATTACATCCCCCTAAGTAATTCATACAATATTTCAAACAATTAGTAATTGGTATCAAGAATATCACATCTCCTCGGTTTATTCACTGTATATGTCACAAAAAGAAACTTTAAATCTTTACTTAAAATATCACATCCCCCCTATGTTTATCTCTAAAATATTACATCCCCCTAAGTAATTCATACAACATTTCAAATGGTTAGTATTTAGTGTTTAAAATAGAAGATTTATCACTTGCAAATTCTGTATGCACCACAAAAAGAAACTGAAATTCTTACTTAAAATATCACATCCCCTCTATTGTTACCTTTAAAATATTACATCCCCGTAAGTAATTCATACAATATTTCAAACGATTAGTATTTGGTATCTAGAATATCACATCCCCTCGGTTTATTCACTGTATATGTCACAAAAAGAAACTGAAATTCTTACTTAAAATATAACATCCCCCCGACGTCTACTTCTAAAATATTACATCCCCCTAAGTAGTTTATAAAGTATTTTAAACAATTATTATTTGGTATATAGAATATAACATCCACCACTTGTTATTTCTTTATATGTCACAAAAAGAAACTAGAATTCTTGCTTAAAATATCACATCCCCCCTATGCAGGCTTCTAAAATATTGCAAACGATTGTTATTTTTATTACATAAAGTATCCCTAATGTGTAATCTTCTTCTACGCTATTGTCACACAATACATTACGATCAAAATATTATAAATAAGAATTTAAAATATATTACCATTTTATGCTAACTTCATTTATAGTATATTAGTAAAAAAACGTTTTTATGAATCTCGTTTTAATTATATTGTTTATAATTGAATGTTTCGGACGTATTTGATACACTTCTAAGTGCAATGACTCGAAAGCGCGTTCTCGTTTTCATTTTTTCTATGGGGGATGTAATATTTTAGGCGGATGTGATATTTTATTACAAAACCCGTCAAATCCCCAGGTTATTCGGCCCTGATAAAAACCAGATAAAACCCTAACGAGCAAATATGCTTGTTTTTATTACCATATGGGACCCGTCTGGAAACCAAAACACTTACCCGCCAAAGTCCCGTTTCCGTAAGCCCAGACAAAAACCATACGGTACCCGTCTGTCAATGTTGGCTGGGATATTAGCTGTTAACTTATGTCTTGCGCCAGTAAAACTGGCTGTGGAAACATTGTGCCAAAATCATGCAATTCTGTTGTGTGCCGATACAACATTTTCATGATAGATAACCTTGGAGAAACCGATTTAGCTGTAAAGTTATGTTGGTGCAACAATTCAATGAGCAGCGTACTCTTTTTCCAGCATACAAAATTTTTTGCACAAGGGACATCAATGTTACAAGAATTTGGATCTAGCTCTATCTTTTGAGCACTATAGCAAATTAGCCATTGTAAATACCATTACTCGACTGAAAGATCGGCTCAATCAGAAAGGGTATAGTCCTCTCCCTTTTTCCAGCGTTTTTTTCCGATAGTGATTCTGTGGACAACGCTGTAAACTTGTCATTGAAAAAAAAGCTTGACTTTGCAATTTTGAAAAATAAGAAATGTAACAAAAAGGGAAAATTGAATGTTTCGAATAATTCATCAAAAATTATATGTATTGAAATAGGAATTTTTGAAAAAGGAGGAAATCGTTGAATATATTTGCAAAATTCCTACCATTACTTGAAAACTGTGAAGCCAACAAAATTAGAGTATCTTTTGAAGATGATGCTCTGAACGCCCTATGTTTTTTACGGGCTCATTTTACTAAGCAGAAAAAAGCGAAAAATGAAAAAGTCAGTAGTTTTGATATAAAACAAATAAGCTGATTGAATCAATAAAATTTTTACTATTAACTTGAGATTTTATTTAGATTATGATAAATTTAAAAATAAAGTTTAATACCGGTATAATATATATACATATATATATATATATATATATATATATATATTAATACATATATATATATATATATATATATATATATATATATATATATATATATATATATATATATATATATATATATATACATATATATATATATATATATATATATATATATATATATATATATATATATATATATATATATATATATATATATATATATATATATATATATATATATATATATTTACCGGTATTTGGCTGGGTATTGAATTTTTACTGAGCGGTTTATAGTTACGTCGTTACGTTACAGTTCTTTTTAAAAAACATCACACGTTACGTTACAGTTCTTTTTAAAAAATATTTTTTTTTAGTCAAATATTGATGTTTTAACTAATGGCTGATTTGAAGCCGGGATTCTTTGTAAGCGTCTGTGAGTTGTTTGGGCACCCATCTTACTCAAGTTTTCCTGTACTTTAGCTTGTTGTGAATAACAGTTCCAACATTCGAATTTACGTTTTCACTTATCAGTTCAACAGCGGTACGCCTACTGTCTCGAATTTGTCAATCCTAGAAAAGAGAGAGTCATAACTTTGACTCATTCATTCATATCATTCATTCACTGCGTTGCTTGTTAGAAACTTTTGTAAGATCACTTTAAAACCTTACTTATTTTTAAACGTTCAAACAATTCAAACTTTTGGCTCCGTACAGTTTTAACATTTTTTTGTGGATTTTACTACGTCCCTCACGTTCCGCGACTAAAAACCTGACCACAGAACCTTGTTATTCCACGGTGCGGTTTTCAAGCAGACATTGTCAACTGAGTAAACTTGAGGTTATGTTTACAAAAAATAATTAAATGACTGTTTAGATAAGGTTGTTCGGTCATTTTTTAAAAGTAATAAGGCTTTTGCTTGGACTATTAAACAGTTTACCGAGTACTATCCGTACTTTGATTCAAGTTCTTTAACAAATTAAAAAATGACTAAAGTAGCAAAAACTAAAAATCACAAAAAACCATCGTCATCGCGAAGTTCTCTAAAATTTATTATTGCTTAATGTTTGTTGCCTTTGAAGTAAATTTTTTGCTATTGAATCTTATCTATTGAAAAGTTTACCACAACTACCTGCTTTTTATGAGACTAATTTGAGTTCAACTGTCTCATCTTGTAATCTTAGTGTTGATGGCTATTTTACTTTAAATAGTAAAGACTCCAATAGTAATATGTTTGGCTTAGACATTTAAATTCGTAAGAATTCATCCATGTGTCGGCAAACTAGGTTTGAATCCAATTCTTTTATGTCATTTTGTTTAGCGCCAATTGTTTTAAATTCTAATTCATTCTACAAGGGTACAAGCAACCACTATTAAGTTGGAAGTTACTAAAAAAAAAAAAGAATAGAGTTATAGAAAAAGAAAATGTTTGACAAAAGACTTGAAAAATTAAAGGTTGTATGAGACAGTATTTGTAGAAAAGAGAAAGAGATGCAGCTTTACGACACTGGGAAAGTAGCTCAAGCTTGGAAGATAGACCGAGTCCAACTATGTTTACAATGCGTTTATAGACCTTGTCTAGAATAGAAAGAGCATTATTAAAAGAACCAGCCCCAATATGAAACAAAACTCCATAAAAAAACGAATAAAATAATTGTAGAGTTAGAGAATGGAATCAGAAGTAAGAAAATGGCCTTAGCGGATGCTAATTTAGCAATCAATTGTACATATGGTTTCTATGAAAGGTCAGTAGTAAAAAAAAATAGCGCTCTTGATTTTATTTTAATATTCCGTGTAAAAAATGGAAACTAATAACTTGATTTACTCGTTGAAAAACATACCTATACTAGATGAAAAAAAGTTATACTATTTCTTTGATGAAAAAGTTGAGCGTTTTATTAAAAAATTTCGTTGGAAAACAAACTTCTTCTTAAAACCGAAAACAAACATAGATGATGTATTTAATAATAATCAAGATAATGATAATTATGGATTTAAAACATATATATATGTTTTAAATTAACTATTGAAATTTCAACCCTTTATGCACATTAAAATCAAAAAAATTACTTTATGTACTTCTAGCTAAAACGTCTTTAACCTTGGCAACAAAATTTGTAGTTACTTGCGTAAAATTTGTGTTTATATTTTAAAGCAATGACGACAATATGTAATTAAATTTATTAAAACAGCTTTTTTAGTGAGACAAATTTTAGTGTATAAATAAAACAAACTTTGGCGCTATTTTCCATATGAAATGGAATAAAAACTAGTATCAATTGCATGCAAAGATTGTTTGCTACTTATAGAACATATATAAATATATTAACTAAAAATTATTTATATCAATCCACCAAAACGAGTTATCAAATTATTTAAATTGCCTATATTATTATGTATATTTATAAAAAATGTGTTATTTTTCTACAAAAAAGTATTAACATTGTAGTATTGATTTTTTTTTAAGGTCATTTTTAGGTTTTGGCCCATAAAAAGGCCTCCAAAAACAAAAATAGCCCCAGGGACCAAGAAGTCTTAATCCGCCACTGCCTAATGTAGTGCCTGTATCAGTTTGCATTCGATGTAAATAATGTTAATATGTTTTATAATTGGACTAACTATGTTTATATTACATATTAGTCAACAGAAATGTATTTTTTCTGATTATTTTTGCTAAAAAGTACCATTAAAATTTCAAAATTCTGCCAAGTTCGTCATTTTGCGCGTTTATTTAAAAATCAAATCAGCCTTGGATTATTATATTGAATGATAAAATATAAAACATTTACACGGATTTTTCTTGTATGACGTCACAGGTTCTGAAAGAACCCATGCTATGCTCGGTCACGTGACTTATCAGTGCGCATGCGTTATTTGCTTGTAGATGAAGTTGTCGTTACTGTGGTATTTGTATTTACATTACCAGATGTAGCTGTTACGCATACGTTTACCTTAACATTTGAGTTTTGCATTTTTATATATACAAGATAATTATTGATAAATTTATCAATTCTTTATTATCAACCCATGAGTTAAAAGTATCAGGATATCCATACCACTTTACTAATGATTTATTACCTTGTTTACGAATAACCTTTTCAATTCTAAATATCTCTTGATTCGTTTTTTGTAGTTCTTGTTCATAAAAAGTACCTTGTATATCTTCACTATTATGATCAGTTATTTTATAAGTTGGCGGATCTGTGTACTGAACTTGTGATACTGTGAACACTTCTTCAATCCATCTTGGTGTGTATCCTTTTTCAAACGCTCCTTTCTTTTTAGTTATTCTCACTTTATCGCCTATTGAAAACTTGGGTTTAGAAGACTTTGTTATAACTTTACCATTTAGATTCAGCCAAACAATGTTTTCATTCTTTTTATCACTTGCTTCAGCTGGAGTCATTTTAATTGAAGAATGTTTTGTGTTGTTGTATTGATTTACCATTTCATCTAAAACATCAATGTATTTTCTAGTAGAGTTAGCTGAAAAGTGCTTGAACATTTTTTCTTTCATTGTTCTATTCCAACGTTCAACTACGCAACTTTTTTCTTCATTTTCAGTCGAGTAGAGCTGCACACCTAATGCCTTAACATGCTTGTTATAAAATTCCAAGCCTTTATCTACCCATAATCTCTTACACTTTCTTTAAATATTTTACTAAAAGCATGAGCAACTTCAACTCCAGTTTTTTTCATTTCATCGATTGCAATCACTTTTCTTTCTCTGAATTGTTTTACAACAGACTTATGAAGTTCGTTTGCAAGTTCATCAGTCAATTTTAGGTTTTTGCTTTTTTTGTTGATCGCTGGTAGTTTTTTGAACTTACACCCATAACAAACTTTGCTTTAGCAGATTAGATAGGTTTTATAATCTTTCGTTCTAATTTTTCACGCTGAGTAGGATTTGGTATGGCATCCATTTGTTTGAGCATTATTTCATCAGCTATAATTCTAGTTGGAGTATCTTGATTATATTTATAAGCAAGATCATGAACATAAGCTGCTTTATAGACTCTATCTACTGGTTCACTCCATTCTTTAGGCATATCACTAGAAG